TCCAAATCGATTAGACGACTAAAATCAAGGAGTCAGAGGAATCGAGCACGCCTGGAATCCGCAACTCAGAAAGCAAGCAAGCGTGCAAGCAAGCAAGCACACATAAGGGGGGTGCCATTGGAAAAAGGGGGGGAGGGGGGTGCCATTGGAAATATAAGGGGGAGGCATAGGCATAGCCGTAGGCAAAGCCACAGGAATTGGGGGGGCATAGGAATTAGGGGGGGAGCAACGGACCAATTAGTAGGGCTTGAGTTAGAACTCCTATAGGGCAAGCCTAGTTGGAGAAAATTGTAAAACAATAGGCTGGGGACCAATCCTCGACTACTACTTCTGGCAATGTATGAATATTGTTTGACAGTGTTCTATTGTTTCGTCGAAAACTTCCCTGTAGCAGGACACGCGCGACCTAAGCATAGCAAGGATGGGCAACCTTCCCCAAAATACCCTTGTCTCCTTCCCTCGTCGGTCCATCCTCGGCCGCTTTCGTCGGCCGCGCCCCGCTCGAAAAGCTCCGAAACGGCCTTCCAAGGCCCGTGCGTCCTTGTCGTGCGTCCGTATGATGCGGGCCAATTGCATGCCTCATGAAGGGCAGCGGACTTCATCGTCTCAATTGTTGTTTCTCTTTGGTCGGTGGCGAGCGAGGGGAGTTTCGGGAGTTTCGGGAGTTTCGGGCACGAGGTTCGAGCTTTTCGGGCGTTTTCGTCAGCTCTCGGCGGTTGTCCAGCTTCGGTATGCTTGCCAGCAGCTGCGCCTCGCCGAGAGCGTTCCAGGGGTGCTCGGATCGTCCCGAACGGCCGCTGGGGACCCGAGCTATGACCCAAAAACCAGATTCGGCTGCACGCCCCGGGGGGCGGTGAGAAGGAGGCGGCTTTCTCAGAAGGCCGGCGGACTTCGAGCCTTCCTGAGAAGGCCATCTCCCTCTCACCTCCCGAGAAGAAGGTCTTCCCTGCCGGATCGTCTGCTTTCCTCTGTCCGCCCGTCTCCGGCTGGCCAGCGTCGCTCCTGCACCCCCGCTCCTCGCCCCCCTCCCGCTCCCCCGGTGCTCGGCATCGCTCGGACGTGCGCGCTTCTCTCGGCGAGGCCAGCGCCAGCGAATCTGGCCCAGTTTGGAGCACGCTGGGAGACAGAACGCCTTTCGCGGCGGCGTGGCAGAGGCAATCCGCTCGTGCGTTCTGGTGGCTGCGGCGGAGCGTGCTGGCTGTCTGGCTGCAAGAGGAGGAGGCAGGGCAGAGGGCGACCGCGGAGCAGGAGAGATGGGGGCAGGGCGCTCACAGCACGAAGGTTTTCGGCATGAGTGGCCGTGCGGCCGGCCGTTGCAGGAGCAAAACCAAGCACGAAGCCAAACAATGCACGGGCGATGAACGTCCGAGCGATGGCGAGGCATTGGAGTGAGTTTTTTTTATCGCACTTGTCCGGAGCATCACTGCCACGCCACGCATCGCACGGTTGCAGGATATTGCCGCATGCATGTATGTTTGTTGCGCCATCCGGCGTCGCCGAGGCTCGAGTCTAGAAGTCATCCGACACGTTTTCGAGCCTGGCATGGGCAAAGGACTGCGCAATCACAGCTGGAGAGTTATGTGGTTTCACGGATCCTCCTCCATCCCTTTCCCTCGCTTGAGACTTCCTCACCACGCACAATTCTGAAGCTTGAGCTGTGCAACACCTTCACGGGTGGAGGGCGGGTCGTTTTCAAGATGTGGTTCTCGCCTGAGAGCCGCGCACATTCGCTGCAGAAGTGTGCAACAGGTCCACGGATGGAAGGCGTGTCGTTTCCCAAATGTGGTTCTCACGCATCAGTGCCGCGCACATTCGCACTAACAGCTGGCAGCAGGTTCAAGGGTGGAGGGCGGGCCGTTTTCAGCATGTGGTTCTCGCCTGAGTGCCGCGCGCACTCGTTCTAAACGTTTGCAGCAGCTTCAAGCATTGATGGCATTTCGTTTCGCGCTAGCTTCAGAACTGCGCATATTCTCGTTGAGTGTTAAGGATCCGTATGATTCAAGTCCCACGAATGCTGTTCTGGCACGGCTTCGGATTGTCAGAACGCAGCAGTAACGTCGATTTGCTGCGAAGTCCCGGGAACGGCGTTCTGGCACGATCTAGGATTGCCAGGACGCAGCAGACAAGTTGATTCGCGGCGTTGAAATCCCAGGAGTTTCCTCTTAGCACGATTGAAGATTCACTGGCGTTTGTCTTCCAATGGGGCACTTCCCGCAATGAACAAACATTCTTCTAGGAACCTATGAAGAGGGAGCTTGGAGGGAGAGTTGATTGCAACATTGTTGACACGTCTTGGGTTTACACTGGTCCCCCTCCTCCTCCTCCTCCTCCTCCTCCTCCTCCTCCTCCTCTTCCTCCTCCTAATCTTCATTCTCTGCATCCGTAACAGTAGTGGCTGAAGCCGGATGGGCTGACGCCTCGCGGCCAGGGAGTCCCACGTTCTGATTAGCAGGGCGCGGCTGCGTCGTTGTGGTAATTTCCGCGACGACCACTGGCTGCCATGACGCTGTTTGGAAATCTGCGGATATCCAGCAAAGGCAGACAACCGAAGGATGGGCGGCGCGTGCATCCGGCGGAGGAGGGACAGGGCACCCTGGCGAAGTCGCCATCGACGAATTCGTCAGAGATCATGGTGTACCAGGATGCCCACCACAGGCACAACGACCGGAAGAAAACCGCCGACGAGACAGGGCTGTCGTCCCGATCGTTACGTAGACACCCGTCGAATGGCAGCGACGACGGCGCCATTACGAGATCCGCTGCGCTGAACATGATGAGCCATGAGAGGTCTGTTCGGAAGGCCCTGCCGACGCTGAAGCCAGGCGTGGGGGTGGCGAGCAAGAAGAACGCACAGGTCAACCTGATCGTCGTCCGCAACCCCAAGACGTGGTCGCAGGGGGACGAGGACGGCGGCGCGGGCAAGCCTGGGATGATATCCGCCATCAACGAGGCCTCGGAGACCTGCACCGTGTACTGGTACGAGACCGGGCAGGTCCACGACCACTACCGGATCGGCAAGAAGAGCGAGCTCTGCGTGCCGCACGGCGCCATCCCGGCGTCGCTGGGCGGGGACGACGGGCTGGCGAGCGCGGGCATGGCGCAGTCCGCCATGCAGGCCATGAAGTCGCTGCTCACGGGCCGCAGAGCCAAGGGACGAGCGCCCAGCAGCGCCCCGGTCGAGCGGAGCTCGCACCGGCGGAACTCCCAGGAGACCTATGCGGAGAAGACGCAGACGATCGTGATATTCGACTGGGACGACACGCTCTTCCCGACCACGTTCATCAGGCACGATCTGGGCCTCTCCGTCAGGAAGACTCTGAGGGACCAGAACCTCAGGCCCGAGATGATGTCGCAGGTCCAGACCACGCTGGCGAAGGCTCAAGTCGGGCACGTCCCTCTACAGGGGGAATATCCCAAAATAGTCAAAGAATAGTCAGGAGACGACGTTTTGGTTTTTGTTTGGCTATGTGTGTTGCATATTTTGTTATTACCTAATAGCGTTTGCTGATAGGTTTCTAGCAGGGTCAAAAGAGAGCATCATGACTCCTCAGGGGGGTCTGGGCGGGTGCCGGGGAGGAGAACCGGGAATCGTTTTTCGCCAACAGTCACACACTTCGTGCTCTTCGACCTCCCAGAACTCCATTCCCGGGACACATTCTGGAGAACCGGGAACAGAGCCGGGCTCGCTTTTCGCCAACAGTCACACACTTCGTGCTCTTCGACCTCCCAGAACTCCATTCCCGGGCCACATTCTGGATGCCCGGAGCCAACTGTAGGCCACTTCGTGCTCTTCGATTTCCCAGAACTCCATTCCCGGGCCACATTTTGCATGCCCGGAGCCAACTGTAGGCCACTTCGTGCTCTTCAAGTTCCCAGAACTCCATTCCTGGGCATGATTTTGAATGCCCGGAGCCAACTGTAGGCCACTTCGTGTTCTTCTAGTTCCCAGAACTCCATTCCTGGGCCACATTTTGAATGCTGAGGCAGGCTGATGCTGCGGCCGAGGCAGGCTGAGGCTGAGGCAGGCTGAGGCTGAGGCCGAGGCTGAAGGCAGACTGAGGCTGAGGCTGAAGCAGACTGAGGCTGAGGCTGAGGCAGGCTGAGGCTGAGGCTGAAGCAGGCTGATGCTGAGGCAGGCTGAGGCTGAGGCTGAGGCTGATGCAGGCTGAGGCTGAGGCAGGCTGAGGCTGAGGCCGAGGCTGAAGGCAGACTGAGGCTGAGGCTGAAGCAGGCTGAGGCTGAGGCTGAGGCAGGCTGAGGCTGAGGCAGGCTGAGGCTGAGGCTGAGGCAGGCTGAGGCTGAGGCTGTGACTGCGACTGCCGTTGCCGCTGCGACTGTCATCGCGAATGCGACTACGACTGCGAGAACAGCAGAATTCTACAACTGGATTTTCATCTGAATCTTAAGGGGAATGCTTTCAGATATGCTTCTACACATCGCTGTTAGGTTGCTTTGCCGGGATAATTATTATTTTTCCTGCAACATCAACCGGTAGGAGGACATGCCCGACCTAAGCAAAGGCGGCGGGCGCCGTCGACCAGCTGCTCCGGCTGGCAGATAAGCGCGGGAAGGTCGTCATAGTGACTTTGGCCAAGAGCCCCTGGGTCACTGATTCTTGCCGCTACTTCTACCCCGGTATTCAGAGGAGGAAAAGGTACCCATACCGATACCCTTCCCTCGTTTTCCTCTGTTTGGGCCTCCTGGGAGGCCCTTGTCGCCACCGCTGGATCCGCCTCGAAATCCTGGTCAGAACGCATCCCAGGAGAGGTCCAGGGAGTAGCGGTATCGGTACCTTTTGGTTTCCCCAGGTATCGGCGAGCTGATCGAGAAGCTTGGCATCCAGATTGTCTACGCGCAAGAGGGCGAGCAGGTAGAGTACAGCAAGGTCAACATGATGGCCGAGGAGCAGTTCGAAACCTTTTGGGCCGAGATGAAGGGCAAGGCCATTGCCAGGGCGCTGAGCGAGTTCTACTCCCAGTACGAGGGGCAGTCCTGGAAGAACATCATCTCCCTAGGGGACTCCGACTTTGAGCGATACGGTGCCATGGCAGCGACGATGCAATATGCTACAGAACAGGGCTTGGTCAACGAGTCGGAGATTACCCCAGCCAATAGGCCGAGGGCGATGAGGGCGCCCCGGATCTCAGAGGTCAGGAGGGGAAGCAACACACAGACACAAGTCATCGTCGATCCCCCGGAAAATATGGGAACATCTGGGAAGTGGGGGGGGGGGGAAGACGAAACTCCAGAAAACATGAGACAAAGATTGGGGAACCCTGGGATTTGTGTGTATTTATCTGCGTGCTCCTGGGCCCCCTCGAGAGGGCGCGCTGTCCGTGTCGAGCGTCAAGCACCACATCAACGGCAGCGGGCGGCGCATGTCGTGGGAGGGGACCGTCAACGGCAAGGACTTCAAGGTGCGGACGAAGACCTTCAAGATGCTGGCCGTCGGGCAACACAAAAGGGAATGAAAACAAATGGGGCGTTCCGAAAAGGGCCGTGACTTCGAGAATCGAAGGAATCGTCGTCTCTTCCGCGGCGGGAGGATGCTGGACGTCGGGAAACACCATGACATGAAAACAAATGGGGCGTTCCGAAAAGGGCCGTGACTTCGAGGATCGAAGGAGTTGTCGTCTTTTCCGCGGCGGGAGGATGCTGGACGTCGGGAAACACAATGGCGTGAACACAATTGGGAGGCGTTCCGAACAGGGCTGTGACTTCGAGAATCGAAGGAGTTGTCGTCTCTTCCGCGGCGGGAGGATGCTGGACGTCGGGAAACACAATGGCGTGAACACAATTGGGAGGCGTTCCGAACAGGGCCGTGACTTCGAGAATCGAAGGAGTTGTCGTCCTGTCCGCGGCGGAAGGATGCTGGACGTCGGGAAACACAATGGCATGAACATACATGGGGCGTTTAAAAAAGGGCAGTGCCTTCGAGGACCGCAGGAGTGGCCATCTCTTCCGCGGCGGACGGGCGGTGGAAGGCCGGCGGAGGTAAAGCGAGGCCGCCTCCGCCGGCGCCAGGGCGGCGGAAGGCGTCGGAAGTAAGACATGCGCCCCCAAGAAACGAACACGTGTTTTGGTTCAGGGTTTCGGGAATCGCCCAAATGTTCCGCGCCGCGGTCCGCACGGACTTCTCGGATCGGCGTTGGGCCTCCCTCCCTGGCGCGCGGGGCGGCGCCAGAGGCGCCGCCCAGGGGGCCCAGCGCCGATCTGAGAAATCCGCGCGGACCGCCGAAACTTCTGTGATTATGCCATGACGTGTTCCCGTAGGACGAGCCGACGGTGGAGGAGCTCATGGTGGAGCTGAGCCTACTGCAGCAGTGGCTGCCTCTCATGGTGGCGCTGAACGACGGCTTCGACGTCGACCTCAACAGCCTCGACGACAAGGCGCAGATCGATAAGATCGAAAGCACGCTGAGACCGCTAGAGTCCTGATACCTCCTGGACTCTTCTCCAGCTGCCTGCGGCAAACCCCGCCATCGTGCCTGTGCAACAACGCTGCAGGAAAGAGACGGAGTGTAGAAACAGCGCAATTCTGACAAGTGGTATGACAAGGACGGGTCGTGAACTCGACCTCGTCTTTGTCCACGAGGTAGGAAGGAGGTCGAGTTCACACCCGCGGTAGTTCAGCGAGTGGTCTGAATTGGGGAGGTCCGTGAAGTCGACATCCCATCCGTCCGCGCGGTAGAGGGGAGGAGGAGGAGGAGGAGCAAGAGGATGATGATGATGATGAGGAGGAGGAGGAGGAGCAGGAGGAGAAGGAGGAGAAGGAGGAGGAGGAAATTGAGGAGGACGAGGAGGAGGAAGAGGAGGAGGAGGAGGAGGAGGAGGAGGAGGGAGAACATGTAGACGACGAGTAGACAGATTCTTGGGAGCTTCCCGGAGGGCCTCTTGGGGCCTCTTAGGCCGTCTTAGGGAGGCGATCTGCCCGTCTGATGCCTTCGGAGGCCTTCTTTGGGGCCTCTCTGGGCCGTCTTGGTGCCTTCTTGGAGCGCATTCGGGTCGTCTAGGGGCTCTCTTACGAGCTTCTTGGGCGATCTTAGCGTCCTCTTGGTCCGACTTGGTTGGGCGCCTCATCGGCTGTTTTGGAGCTATCTTAGAGGCCTCGTGGGCCGTCTCGGCGTCGGTGGAGCTCCCTGTGGGGTCACGAAACGTCTGAGGGGTGTGCCAACACGGGCGCGGCGGTGCCATGCGAAGGCAGGCATTGGGGATTTCGGTGGTGCTCCCTGTGGGGTCACGAAACCTTGAGGGGTGTGCTGAAACGGGTGCGGCGGTGCCATGCGAACGTTGCCACTCGGGCATTCGGTGGGGCTCCGCTTGGGACCGCGAAACGTGTGAGGGGTGTGCCGAAACGGGTGCGGCGGTGCCATACGAAGGCAGCCATTGGGGCTTGGGGTGGAGCTACAAAGAGTGTGTGGGATGTGCCGAAGTGGGTGCGGCGGCGCCATGCGAACGAAGCCACTGGGGCCTTCGGTGTAGTTCCCTGTGGAACCACGGATGTGTGAGGGGTGTTCCGAAACGGGCACAGCGGTGCCATGCGAACGCTGCCGCTGGGGCCTTCGGTGGAAAACGAGGACCCAACACCACAGGATGGTTCGGAAAAAAAAAACCTCCCAGACAACAGCAAGCATTCCAGCACGCCCACTCCGTGCAGGCACGGTGGCAGATAGATTTCCAGACCCCGTCGAGCCATGACCATGAAAAAGCCACGACTGAAAAGGTTTTATCGCTGTGTCCTGCCTCTGGGGGCCCTTTCTGGGCCTCGGGGCCGTGCCCCAAAGCGACTCGGGACGAGGACCGGTCCCGGGGAAGGGGTCGATCGACCAGGGGGGGACCCGTGGCCCGGCCCCACCCTCCCGGGCGTTCCCCTCCCCTCGTCGGCACCGGAGGTCTAGAGCCTCCGACCTCTCGGGAAGACAGTTCCGGGGGCAGCGGTGGGAGGGACAGGCGCAGGGGGGGGAGGCATCGACCCCCACCCGCCCATGGATCGCCGATAGGGGTTCGATAGCCCCACCCCGCCCAGGAGGGCGCGGTTGCACTGTCGAGGCCCTATCGCCGAGGTGTCGACGATGCATCGCCGATTCCAGGTCGATGCATCTCCCCCCGTGCCAGTACCTCCTTATCATTGTCCCTCACAACAATCGGGTTCGGAAGAGTGGGCTGGGAGAAATGAGGATATCATTACCCGTAGGCGGGATATGCCGCAATGAGCGGGGGGGGGAAGCCTTGCCTCTTGGGCAGGGGCGGGATGCGAACCTCGTCTATGGGCCGTCCATGGAATTCCCTGCGGGCCGCGATCCGTGTGAGAGCTGTGCCGAAGTGAGCTGGGCGACGCTAGGAAGCTCCCCCCTGGTGCGGCAAATGCACGCAGTTGCGGGGTACCACCAGGCGAACCTTGTTTCTGGGGCCCTGGGTGGAGCTCCCGTGTGGGGGGGGCGCGATCCCCGTGGGGGGTGTGCCGACATGTGCCGGGGGGGCCGTCTCAGGCCTCTTGGCTTCAACCTTCTCCATTCTCCTTCGCCCCTGTCGTGCATCCGAGCCGGGGCCCCGACGCCAAGAACCCAACCGAAACCATAACCGTGGCAGGCCACCTCGAGCCCCCATCCAGGTGACCTTGGCCGCCTTGGAAGCACGTGTGGAGAACTCGGATGCTTCAAGGGCGCCCTCGAGGGCGCGAAGTGATTCGCGCTTCGCGCTTCGCGGTTCGGCTCCGATTCCTCCTCATCTTCCTCTTCTCCCCTGGGAGGCGGCGCGAGAGCGCGAAGTTATTCGCACTTCGCGCTTCGCGCAGCGCGAAGCGCGAAGTTGGGAGCCCTTGATGCTTGTTGGAACCCTCGTGTCGTTTTGGAGGCCACCTGTGACCGTCTTGGGCCGTCTGGGCCCGTCTTGAGGACCATCTTGGGCCATGCTGGCTGGCTTGGAGGCGCGTTGGCTTGATGTTGGGTGCTGTGTGCGGTGGCGGCGGAGAGCCCGAGAGCCACAAGGAATCGCTTAGAAGGGCCAGCCGTGTTATAAAACGTGACAGGCCGCGCACCCCTTCTTGCAAGCAGCAGGGGGCGACGGATAGAAGGCGCCCACGGTGGGTCACCAGCGTCCCCTGCCTTGTGGGAACCGCCTATGTTGTCTAACCGTTGGGGAGAATTTGGGCAGGCGTTTGGATTTCGTGCTCCCCCAGCCGTTGTAAAAGCCGTTCGGGGAGCATGGGATGGCCTTCTTGGGGTATCTTGGGAGCCTCTTGGGGATCTCTTGGGGGCCTCGGGGGGCACACCTGCTGAAACTCTTGGGCCATGTCGAGACCGTCTTAGGGCGTCTGCGGCTTCCTGGGGCCGCTTTCCAGCCATCTGGGGGCCTTGGGAGACGGAGCGCGCCCACCTGGGAGCTCAGGGTGGCCCATGGGTCGCTCGAGCGGGGGATAAAGCGCCACAGGACCAAGGCCGCCGAAGGCGACCCAATCTCACGCAATCGCAAGCACGGATCAAGGGGGCGTGGATTAGCGACGGGTCCCGTTTCCAGGGGAGATCTCAGATTTCCGCCGCCCAGCGAGGCGGCACCGGCCGCACTTCGGGGAGGGCACCTCCCCCGATCCATGGATTTGGCGACCGCGCGCCAAATCCATGGATCGCTAATCCATGCTTGCGCGCCCCTGATAATCTTCAGCTTCCCAGGCTGGAGTGACCACGGACCTCGGGCGCTTGCTGGGGGAGAGACAGCAAATCAAAAGCAAGGGCACTGCAAACATATCCACGACGAGCGTTCGAGAGCCAAGCGGCCCTCCCCCCTCGACCCTCCTCGACGTCCTCAGAGGGCCCTGGGGCGTTGATGGCCTTCAGCTGGCCCAGCGGTCTCCCACGGGGAGGCTCAAACAGGAACGCATGATCACTCGTGCACCCTCCGATGCCGAGCGCTTCGGCCTGCAACCAGAGCTTGCTAGAACCTCAGCGCGCGAAGAGCGCCGCGCGGTTCTAGTATCATGCTGTTTCTCTCTCTCTCTCTCTCTCTCTCTCTCTTTCTCTATCTATCTCTATTTCTCTCTCTCTCTCTCTGCTACGATGGGGGGGGACATTCGATGAGGGTTTCTTGCTGAGGTTTGGTACCTGACTCTCTCCGAGCAGGCCTCCTTGCTGCCTGGCCTAACGCTTTTTTTCATTTCCAACACCACCGCCGTAGTTGTTCCTTCTGCCGAGCGCGCTCCGCGGCACAGAGACATTACAGTAGCTCGGCCGAGACCCGGCAGTAGCACAGGTCGTAGCTGGAATGTTTCTCGCCGAACTGTGCGAGCTTGCTCAGTGCCCTGAGCCTTTTTAAGGTGCCCCCCTTTTGGGCTTTTTCTGGAAGGGGCGTTTCTTTTCTGAAGTTTCGGGTGTACGAGCTTGCGGAATCTCAACTTGATACACTCACCCTAGAAGATCCCAGCCTTGCTCAGTAGGGATGCTGCTCCTTCGCGCTGTTGTGCGAAGGCGGTGCGAACTCAGCATCCTGTGGCTCATCCCTTTCCCACTCCTCTGTTCTCCTTCGTATCAGAATCGTCTCCTCGATGTCCCTCCAGTCCTCGATGCCCACCCCGCGTGATGTTTTCAGTCGCCCTGTCGTGGCTTCCGCTTCTGCTCGGGACCGTCTTCGGGCCTTGTGGCGCCGCAGCGTCCCGGGCGACAGCTTACCGGTCAGCGTTCAGCCGCCCAGCCTTCCTCTGCCCAGAGGGTTCCAAAGAGGGTTTGGGGGGAGGGGGTTCTCCAGAGAGCCCCCTAGGGGCCTCGGAATCTCGTCAAAACAGGGGGTGTGAGGCTCTTGGGGGACCCCTCCTGGAAAGCCCCCTCCCCCCAAACCGCCTTTGGAACCCTCCTTGGTCCGCACCCCCCTTGTCCCCAGACATGCGATGTCCCGGTGTGTGTTCCATATGCGCGGCCCCCCGAAGTCCCGACCCCCTTCTCGAGGGCCGGTTTTTCTCCCCGAGCCGTTCTCGTGGCCGGTCCTGGGGCCCAGCGTTAATTCCCCCGGGGGGCCAGAGGCGGCCAAGAGCCGTCCGGCGTGAGCCTTCATGGTGCGAGCATGTCTGGGTCTGTTCCTCCTTCCGCTCCTCCTCGTCCTCGTCCCCCTCTGCCTCCTGCCTCCCGCTCCCCCCTGGTGTGTGTGCGGGTGATCGGTGCGCAGTGTGGCTCCCCAGGGGCGAGCCCTGCGGATGCGTGCGCGCCGAGCGGCCCAGAAGGGGGCGCGCGCGCGCCGAGTGGTCTCACGGTTTCGAGGGGCTTCGCGGGGATCCGGACGAGGAGCACGCAGCGCAAATCAGTTGCGAAGAAGCTGCGCAATCCATGCCCATCGGTCGGAAGGGGTGAGTCAGAGAATGAAGCAGGAAGGCATTGAAAGTACATCGAGTTTCCGCCAGACCCCGAAAGAGGATGCAAGAGAGCAGGGCGCTCGATGATTCAAGCAGGTAGGCGCCTAAAACAGATTGGACCATGAGATTCCAGAGATACCTGTTCTAAGCGACCAACGGGTAAACTGTCCAAGGTCCGCGCGGTTTTCTTGCTTCGGCGCTGGGCCTCCCTTGCTGCGCATCCGACGCCGCCCCTGGCGCGCTCTGCGCGCCAGGGGGGGGGTTCAGCGCCGACACAGGGAATCCGCGCGGACCTCCGAAGGTTTAATGCTTATGTCGTCCTCTGCTGCCCCAGGCTAAGAAGCAGACGCGCGCCAGGGAGGGGGTCCAGCGCCGCCCCAAGAAATCCGTGCGGACCTCCGACCGTTTAATGCTTATGTCGTCCTCTGCTCCCCCCGGGCTAAAGAGCAGACGCGCGCCAGGGAGGGGGGGTCCAGCGCCGCCCCAAGAAATCCGTGCGGACCTCCGAGCGTTTGTGCTCGTGTCGCCCTCTGCTCCCCCGCGCTCAAAGGCAGACGCAGATCCGCGCGACGCCCGAATGCAGCCCTCCCACTCTACTCGGGGAGGGCCGATCTGTCGTGCGCGCGGCGGCGCGGGGGGCGGGGAGTCGTGCAGGAAGCGTCGGCCCCCCATGCCGTCCAGGAGGAGGAGGAGCAGGAAGAGGGAAGAGGAGGAGGAGGAGGAGGAGGAGGAGGAGGAGGAGGAGGAGGGAGGAGGGAGGAGGGAGGAAGGAACAGCCAGGGGAGGAGGAGGAGGAGGAGGGAGGAGGAGGAGGAGGAGGAGGAGGAGGAGGAGGAGGAGGAGGAGGAGGAGGAGGAGGAGGAGGAGGAGGAGGAGGAAGCAAAGGAGGAGGAAGCAAAGGATTAGGAGGAGGACGAGGAGGGAGGAGGAGGGTCCCAGGACCGTCCAAGAAACGACTCGGGATGAGAAGACAGCGCCAGGTGACGCGTCGGGACTCCAGGGGCCCCGTGCAGAACATGTCAGGCCAGGGCACGTATGGGGTTGCAATCCCTGGGAGGTTAGATTCCGCATCGGCGCTGCTATCCCCGGCTCGACTACACGTAAGAGTGACCTTTCGCTAGAGTGACCTTTGGTGCGGGTCCAATGGGGCCCCCTGTCGCCGAAC